ATACTCCAAATTATTAACATAATTTCTTGAAGGCAACATATGTTTTCTAACTGTTCCATGGGTTCAACTTGAGGATCTTGAAGAGACATTCCCTGTTTGCTGTTTTTCTCTTCACTATGGTTCTCATTTTTCTCTTCATTTAGTAAATTGTATAAGCTCTCATTTTTTTGCTTAATATCACAAAGAATAGAATCCATAGAATAGCCATATTCGATAAGGGCATGATCCTTATTTTCATGTTTATAAACATGGCCAACAGTATGCATAGCAACCAATTCACCAGATGCATTAAATACTGGGGAGCCAGAGGACCCACTGTAGAAACAAGTTTCATAACTAAGCGTGTGTGTGCTCCAAAGCTCTGAAAGGAAACTTCTTTGGGTAAACATAGAAAAACCACCAAAAGCAGCAGGATCGCATTTTTCCAACACTTCTGGACAATGCTTTGGATACTTCCCTAGCCGTTGTTGTAAAGGAATCACAGCACAACCATCTATTTTCTTTATCTGGCTTTCTGGGTGACCAATTATATAAATCAAACCACTAGGTGGAGGAAGAGAAATGTGTCCCAATAGGCCTTGAGGAAATGCATTTCCATTCTCTTTTAGTTTTAAAATGGCATAATCTAGAGTTCTACCAGACCCCTCAAACCACGGCTCGAGAGAAAACCAATCATCAGCATTAGGGTAGAACACATTGTAAGTGAAGGTTACCTTTGTACATCTACTAATTATATCTGGCCACAAACTTGGATCTGTGCCTTCACCCACTATATCATGCACAATGTGTTGGCAGGTGAAAATATAACTACCTTTTAAGACAAAGCAAGTTCCATTGCCTGATCTTCCATTATTGCTCCATGTTATAAGTCCAACTGACTTACCAAGAAAGGCAAGCTGTTCACAGGTTGCAAATGATAAAGAATTTGCAGTCGTTTTCCCAAAGTACTCTTTATATATGTTGAATTGTTTAGTCATTGGCAGTTTTGTTTCCTTCTGTAGTTTCTGAAAATATTTTCCCATCCAATGTGCCTCTTTATTAAAATTTGGATAATGCTGAATTACAGCTTTGTCCAATATTTGGAAATTCTTTAAGAGATTTGTTGCCTCCATTTGGATACCCAGAATGTCATATTGCCTACCTTCTGACACTATTTTCCCATCATTTTTGCCAGAACTATTATCATAATAAGATTTTACTATGAAGATTGTCTCTTGAGTTTTACTTTTAATATCGTGCTCCAAACTCTGAGGTGGGAGAATTTTTTCTCTGTTGTGTTCTACATCTTCAGTCTCTTCATTTTTCTCTGCGTCATGGACCTTGTTCATAGACAGATCACTGTTACTGATTCTATCTGTAGTGTTTTCATTCTTCTTATGGATATCTTCCCTGTCTAATGGTATTTTAGAAATGGTCAGTTCTAATATTTTTCCAGATACTTCATCCACTTTGGACTGTCTTCCATGAATTTTCTTATGACCTTCCATTATTTCCCACTTCAGTTTGTCCAGATCAGACCGAAATCGACCATCCTTGCATAAGGCTTCCTCAATAGTCTCACCCTTCAAGGCATAGATACAAAGTGTACTTCCTTTTTCATGAAGTTTTTTGATTTTGAGAATCTTCTTTATATTCTTCCCAATAGCAACAACTTGAAATAGAATGCAGTCAATTTCTGGCCTTTCACACTGGCGCAATATCTGATCATTTTCTTGGTTCTTTTCTCTTTGATCTATTGTTATTTTAAAATGAGAATTTCTAGGCAGGCACTTGAGAGGCATTCCCAAATTTATATATCCATCTATTGTTTTTTCTTCATAAACAATAATGTTCTTATTTAAATGATTTTTCATCCTTTCGCAGAAACTGGAATTTGCTCTCAGAACTGAGTAGATATTGTCATTGGGTTTACCGTATGCTGTCAATACGCTACGGTCTGATTTCCTGGAGCTTACATTTAAAGTAAAGGTGAAACTATATTCTTCATTGTTGTTCAAATTTGTATTCTGAATTTCAAGGGCTGTTTCATGCTTGTTGACTTCAGTTGTAAGCACAGAGGTGCTACTGTACTCATGTATGTCAGTCAGACAGTAGTCAACAGGTGTGCCAGAACATGTCTGCTTCATGACAGAATCCTTTATAAAAGAACGATTAAATATTTAATAAGAACCACATTTAACAATATGTTTTTAAAATGTCTAATCATAAACTAATAGATATTTTGAACAAAAACTGGATAATATAGGGGCCGCTTTGGCGTAATGGTTACATTGCTGTACTCCCATGTAGTTGACTGTGGTTTCTATTTTTGTTGTTGTTGTTTTGGGATTATTAGTTGGTTTTTCAGGTGCGATATTTGAGTTCTTTACACATTCTGGTTGTCAACTCTCTGTCTGAAGTATAGTATGCAAATATTTTCTCCCATTTGGTGGGTTGTTTCTTTACCATATTTATTGTTTCCTTTACTGTACAGAAGCTTTTTAGCTTAATGTAATCCCATTTATCTATTTCTGGTGCTACTGTCTTTGTTTTAGGGGTTTTATTTGAGAACTTTTTGCCTATTTCAATATCTTGAAGTGTTTGTTCAGTTTTCCTACACCGGTTTTATGGTTTGGGGCTTTATGTTTAAGGCTTTAGTCCATTTTAAGTTAATTTTTGTAAGTAATGTCATAATGCAATGTTCTATATTGAAGATGAATATGTGTACATTCTTGATTTGGTTATTATATACTCTATGTATGCCTTAAAAAACTAAACCGTTATCCACAAAGATATACACTGATTGTGTATACCAGAAATTATAATTTAAAATAATGAATTCCTGCCAGCTCAGGAATATCTCTTAGTGCCCTGTTAGCCACAAGATGTTCTGCTATCTATGCCATAAACATATCCATCAACTTCAATAGTTTCTACTTGTCCTCTTACTATTTTTGGTAAAAAAGAGTTCATATACTCTCTTAGAAAATGTTTAAGTATACTATAAAATATTAGCTATAAGCATGATATTTTACAGTAGATCTCTAGAAACTAGTCATGTTGTATAACTTAAATACTGTACCCTTTTATTAATACATCCCTTTTTCCCTCTCCGCTATTTCTCTGGCAGCTGTGTCTGCTTCTACGAAGTTGATTATTTTAGATTCATTATTCATTCAAGATCTCCCTCACATAATACTGCATTAATTACTTGAGTCTGAATTATGTATTCTCTCTGTACTCCAAAACAGTTGTTTATATCACAATTTCTATTATCATTTTGCGTATTTTGAGTAAAATAGTGAGTTGGTCAAAACCCAGTCTTTGAAATCTGTTTGGTTGGGTTTAAATCCTTGCTCTGAAGTCCATTACTTTTATAACTTTAAGTGAGTTGGGCTTTGGAGTCTTCATTTGCACAATAAGGATGATAGTAATATCTATTGCATAGAGTTTTATTAAATGTTAAATTAGATAATCCATATGAAGTGACACATACAATTTTAGGTACATAATGATTTCTAAGTAAATGTTAGCTATATTGTAATTTTTTTCTTATTCATATTTCTAGTGATTTAAGTATCTCTATTTTTTTATCCAAAGTGTTGGCTTAAGACATATTTTCCATTCTTAACTCACACATACTGTTTTTCAGAAGCACTTATGTGTGTGATCTTCCCAAATATATTTAAAACAGAACAAATTATAACTACCATTCTTAAAGAATTTATCTCCTTCTAAGAACTTAACATATTGCTATGGTTACAAAGCTGCTCTAGTGAAGAGTTATAAAAAAGTAAATATACCTTTGAAACTTTAGGTCTTGTACTCTGGTCATTTTCTGTAGCACTGAATGGTTTGTTTTCAGGCTTAATGGAATTCATGATGAGTTCAAAAGAAATAACTAACTTCTACTTCTGGCCTGGATGGAGAAACAAGGATTGGATTTATCCTCCCACCTGAAATAATTAAAAAATAAAAGAGAAGATATATGAAACAATAGCTTTCAAACACTGGACATTAGGCAGACAGGACAGTGGTCTATGACCCCTGAAAAAAGGTAATCAGATGAGGTAATTACTATGGTTATCTACCTTTCTGTGTGGAGAGAGTTTCCAGGCCCTACATCAGGGAGGGAAAAGACAGCCCAGCAGTTTCTCTGAGCTGGGAAAACAAACTGCTAGTCTTGGGAGGCCAAGATGTAGAGCACTGCAGAGCACTTCAGAGCACAAAACAGAAAAGTGGCAGAGGCTGTCAGAGGTCTGCAGTGGGTACTCCTTGTAATTTCAGCTAGTTATTAGTACCTAAGTGTGATACAACTATTGGTAACCAAGAAAATAACTACCAAAAAACGAATAGATGGTATAGTTCTTGAGGCTCATACGGGGCTGAGATAAATTTCTGTTCCCAAAAGGCAGACTGAAAAACTTTGTAATTCATGAAGTATCAGGTGGAGTATTCTGAAACGTATTGCCTCTATAGTGGGACAAAATTAGCCCTAGACTTCTCTGACCCCACCTAACAAAATTTAAAAGCAAGCCTTGAAAGTATAAAATGGTTTCTGAACAACATAATAGTGTACTAGAACAATGGTCAAGAATATTGATGGGGGAATTAGGACCACTAAAGACTTTCTGCCCAGACTTTACCCGCCTGCCCCCCAGATCTAGCCAAGGAGCCAGGACAAGCCAATCACCAGAAATCAATATCTGAGTTCTGAGTGGTTCCCTTCAGGGATTAGGACCACTGAAGATCTTCTGCCCAGACTTCATCCTCCTGCCCCCCAGATCTAGCCAGGAACTAGGACAAGCCAATCACCAGTCATCTCTTTCTGAGAAAACACTACTGAGCGATCAAGAGACTTGTACACAGAGAGAATTCCTAAACAGAGCAACAGATGTAAGGTGAAGAAGTCTTCCTATGGTATCCAACCGTGTAATGATCAGAGCAGCAAAAAAGGAAACTTCGCCAGGCAAGGGAGGACTATCCAATGTGAGTAGAGGATAACTTCCCCAAGTAACCCTGTCCCTACACCCCTCAGGGATCTAATTCTTTTATAAACTAGGGAGTTTGGCTCAGATCAAACTTTAATAGTTACTGTGAGTTACCCCTTCAGAGTTTCTTAAAAAGAAAGAGTCTGGATCCCACCCTCTAATATAATTCAGTATATCAGAGGTGCACTTATGGGTTTTGCACTTTTATTTCCCCATCCCTACTCCAAGTGAGCACCATGCCCTTTGGAACAACTGACCAGAGTATCACAGTGTTGATTCAGGATTAAAATTCTTATCCTCAAAGCCAGAAAGAGGGATGGGGTTTCCACATGGGAAGTTGCCCTTCTCCCTGTCCCAAAACTCCTTGACTTTGGGCTGAGGTCTGCCTAGGACCTTTACCAATCATTTTCCCCACGAACTCCATGTCAATCCCAAGGCTAGATCTACTCACAGAAGCGGAGAACGTGCCCCAACTGTGCTTTGACCGCCGCACCAGGACTCTCGAGATCGAATTCCTGAGATGGCCGGCACGGATGTCTGGGTTTTCCCGCTGGCTGTCCCGTGCTCGGGAACCGGCCTGGGAATTGACACTCCACCTGGCCAATGGATAAACGGGTCTTGAAGGCTGCCTGTCCTCATTGGACAATTACTCATGCACTTCGGTAGCCAATTGGCTGCGCTTCAGCCACTAAGAGCAGTGGCGGGAGAGGACGCGTGTGGCGCCCACCGCGCTCCCAGGTGTGTGGAAAGGCCGGCCCTGGGAGTCGCGCCTCTACCCACTGTCTTTAGCGTGATGACCCAGCGCAGGCCCTAGTGATACATTCTCCGGACGCTGCGTCCCTAGTCTGGAACCTGCTTGGAGCAATCGCTTCCGTCAGTCTGTTCCCTGCCCGTCGTTGTACTTGATCCCCGCGCAGGCTCGAGAATGCTTGGGAGGAGCTAAGGGCGCTCCTGGCGGGAGAGGGTGGCGCCAGGCGGTTTCGCGCTTTGCGGAGCTTTGATTCTACAGGAAGCGGTCGGAGTGGGAGCAGCGCGCAGGCGTCGTAGCTGCTGCGTTAAGCGCCTGGCGCGGTGCTTTTCTGCGGCTATGGAGCAGGCGGTGGCGGTAGCCGTGGGTGAGCGTCCGGGCAGGATTAGGCTGCGGCTGCACAGCATCTCCGAAAATGCACAGAGGCCCAGGCCAGAGCTTGCTTCTCCAGTTTCCAGAGGATGAAATTGGCTGAAGCGGCTGCTGCCGGCTTCCTAGGTGAGGTCTAGCAGGACCTGGCGCTCCACGGAAATAAACCAACCTCGCCGAGGGGTTGATATGCTTAGACTCTGCCAACCAGAAGGAAGAGGCCAGCAGCTGAAATGCCTGGTTCTCAGGATGTACATGCGTATATGCAGAACTTTACAGTCTGATTCCAGGGTTAGATATCCTCAGCTGATGATCGAGGAAGTGCTTTGCATTGTGCCTGAGAAAGCATCCGTTTAATACCAGAAGACTTGGACATTAGGTGCTATTTTTAAAGAAACTGGTCAAAGAAAGGGAGAACATTGTTGATGAAGGTAATGATGGTTACTTCTAAGAGTTACAACTCTTTTGTACAACTCATAGGAGAACAGATGTTAATGTAAAAGATGATTGTGTTGATGGAATAATGGTGGTAGAGTTGACCCTTTCCTAACTGAATGTAAAATATACACAGATAAGCCACAATCACTGCTTAAATTCCAAATATTCTATGGGGTAGGAACAGAGTACAGTTTAGAAGTAAGATTGTAAAAATTCTATAAAAAATGTGGAAGAAAAGAAATTGTCATGACTTTCTTAAATCACGGTTGTCCCTTAAAATATCTGAAAGCAGTACATGTGACTGACAGCAACATACACATGGGTGGAGGATATATCCAGAAGAGGACTCACAGTTCCTTTTACTCTGGAGAAGTGAAAAATTTATGAAAAGCAGAAGGTGATAGAGAACTGGGTTGTAAAAATTGCCTGATCTTTCCGAAAACAGGGAATTTGTCCTGGAAGGAAGCATATTTTAAGGAGTATATGTACCTGCTGTTAGCTATGTTGTTGGCCATAGCAAGAAGTCTGGATTTTATAATAAAAGTGTTATTTATTCTAAACAGAGGATTTTAAGCAGAAGAGTAGTGTAACTGATTTATATTTTTAGAAAAAATAATTCTAAGGACCAGCAGTTAGCGTAATGGCTGTTACTGGACTCCCATGTAGTCGACTGCAGTTCGAGTCCCGGACCCAGTGGCTTAAACTCACGCCGGGTACTTGTGTGTGCGTGCCCAAGATCCCGAGAGGAGAATGGAGGAGAAGGGATTTCGGCGTGGCCAACCCCCCTGGGGGGTGATTTCTCGCTTTCTGTCTCCTTGTCTCTCTCTGTCTGTCTGGTGAGCACACACACCCTATAGCAAAAACCTCTCCAATAATAATAATAATAATAATAATAATAATAATAATAATTCTAGGCCCTGCATGAACAACAAACTAGAATGTCAAGAATAGATGCAGAGGGGAGCAAGCAGTTGGGAATCTATCCCAGATTCCAGAATGTAGCAGACAAGGTCTTTAATGGTGGTGGTGAAGGTATTAGAAATGGTTAGATTCTGCATTTAGTGTTCAGGGAATCTGTTGACCATCAGTCAATGCTCATCTTCAGCGGATGCTTGTATAGCGTAGTTTAAATTGACATCGCAGAGGACCCACCCCCGCAGCACACATACACACACCTACACATTCCCTTATTACTAAGCACCTTGTTGACTGTGTGTAGTGAGATATAGATTTTGTTATAAATGTTACCAGAATGCTTTCACCAAATAATAATAGGTTGTTGGGTGAAACCTGTAAAGAGAAAGAGACCACAGAGCTAGGAGAGGAGCAAATGGGTCAAATATTAAAAGTTGGAGGAGTTTGGGATAAAACCAATGTTTTTGGATAGTGACTTCTTCATGAAGGATGCTTATCTATCTCTACCAGAGAAGGACGATGTTTGCATTTAGAGTTGCAAACACGTGGAATACAGAGGAAGGTGTCACTGCCTCTACCTGGGAGCATATCACAGAAAAAGAGATTTAGATTTGGACTTGATGGACAACGAATTAGTAGCAATTTGATACCACAGAAGAGGGAAATTGTTGGATGTAAAAAACCAAAATTGGCAGGAGGGGCTATATAGAATTGACTTCTAGGAATGGGTTAAAGATGAGGACCTGATATTGTATTCCAGAGCTTGCCATTGGAAATGTTAAAATATGAAAGGCTTGGTGCTTTCCTCTTCTTTTCTGAGTTCACAGTCAGCTTGCCTTACTCATTCCTACTAGACAGGACTAAGGTAGGGTATGGGAACTCATAGCAATTGTTTAGGGTTCCACCCCTGAAACCCCTGCAGCCAAACCTTTCTATATAGACCCCTGGTCCAGCCTATCCTAGGAAGACAGTGCACTCATGGGGAGGATAATGCCTTGTCCAAATTCCAAAAGCTCCATGGAGGCCACCAGAAAGAAGGCAGTACTTTTTGGTTCACTGATCTGGGGTCAAGGATGCAGGGGTGGGCTGGGTGCCTTCTTTTCTCTGTCCAGTGGGATTCAGGTGGATGGGGTGGAATGATCACACTTTATTTCTCCCCCATTCCCAATGAGGCAGTGCTTAGAAGTTGATTCATTTTGGTCTCATTTGATATTCTCAGTTGTCCTTTTGGGCAGGTGAGACTTTTGATCCCATTTCAAAATATTATAGAGTAGTCTTCAGGAGGCCACAGGACTCACTCATGTCAGCTGAGGGAGAGGGGTAACTAGGATTTTAACCTTAGAGACGCACAGCTTCGTAGGACTCAGCAGGGAGACTTTAAGTTTTCTCCCTTCTTAGGAGTCTGGACTGCTTATTTGTAAATCAGTGAAGTCTGTTACTATGTGATTCCTTTTAAACTGTTTCAATTTTATCACTTGGGTAGCTTTTTAAACACCTTGTTTCGAGAATGAACTCCAGTATTGAACACTGAGGTCGTGGATCTAGGGTGAGGACCAGAAATCTCCCTCTTTTAACAAGGTCAGGAATCAACAAACTGTCTTAGGGTCTCATATCGGTTCTTGGAAAAGTTTAAGATGCATCAGTCTTCTGGTAAGCTCATCAAACACGTTTCTGAGCTCCATCTGCAGAGATCCTAATTCCTTAGGGTCGAAATGTGACCTGTTACTGAAGAGATGATTCCGATGATGTGGCAGCCACCAAGCTGTTGCTCCGTGACTCGTGAAAGTGAGATTGGCCCGAGTGCCGGGTTCCAGCACCACTCTGGCACGCAAAGGAAGTCCTTAATAAAAAAAAGCAATGCAGGCGGAAGAGCTTCTTCTAGGTGGGTGTGTTACCACGCGATTCCTGCAGATGGCGCCAGAGAATGGGTCTGCTGGAATCGGGGCGGGGCAAAGAGACGGGAAAAGGTGTGGATTGACATCCATTCAGGCCAATGGCAGCCTAATCTTTCCTTCCCTGATCCCTCAGTGCTTTAAGCAGTCTGCATTTGTGGTGCTGAGCGTCAGAATGGCCTTGGGAGATGTCTTGGCCTGTGCTCCCCGAAACTACATCTGTTAATACAAGGCTGCTATAGCTCATGTTGGCCCAATCATTTGTCAACTTCTCAGGTAACTAAAGGTCTTTCTTCTCTCTAGACAAACTTGTCTCCATCACTTCCATCACTCTGGGTCCTTGGAGTTTTGTAAAATAAATAAAAATAAAAATAAAAAGCGTTGTGGGGCAAAACCAGGGTGGCACTTTTCATTATCTTAACAGCTAAGTATTTCTGTCACTGGTGGTGGGAGCTGCTGAAGAGAGAATGGGGTGAGAGAAAACATGTGTGAAGCATCCATTAAATGCATCCTGCATTGGCATTTTCCACTGTCTCTTTTAATCATTTCTCTATTTGATTCATTTTCTTTTTCACTAATTAGGCAACAAGCTAACTTGCTCAAGGACAGTCCTTGGATGATTTTATCTCATGCCAGATGCCAAAGCCCAAGTCTTTTTTTTGTGTCGAGCTGCCCTTGTAACATTTCAATGCATGCAGGTTCTTTGAATCACTTCTCTGTACACATTATTCATCTACTCATTCATTCATCTATTCACTTATTAGAGGCCCACCTGCAAGGTATGGATCTAACTGCTACTACAAATACCAAAGATTAGGGACTTTCAGAAAAAAAAGAAAATGCAGAATTGTTTTGAAAAACCTGCCATGTTCACAGTGTCCCAAAGTAGAGTGGTAGAGTAGGGTCCAAAGAGGTCCTTATTATGTCTGTGCTGTTCCTGAAGTGCATTTTTAAATTATATTTTAGATCAGGGATTCTGAGATATTTATATCAATTTTTTATTACAAAGTGTTCACAACAGTGCCTCACATGTGCCTTTCCTTGATCAGAAATTTATACCAGTTTTTAGTCTGGCTGGCTCACATTCACTTTACTGCTTGGTGTAGATGGATGTTACTTTCCCTAGGAACCCTCCTGATTCCTGATCCTTACTCCTGAAACAGTATGTATGCAAACACAAAGGGTTGAACTCATAACCAGGCTCACAGGAAAAACCTTGTTCAGGGCTGGCAGTGGTATGGTGTTTAAGGCGTTGGACTCTCACATGGCCAACCATAATTTGAGTCCCAGACCCAGCAGCTTGCTTTCTCACCCTCCCTCTCTCTTATCTCCCTGTCTTTGTCTGGTCAAACTTAAGAATAATAAAATTAAATAAATAATTCTTTTTAAAGAATGAACAAAAGCACACCTTGTTCACACCACGTTTCCCTAATGATTAGTATGAAAGGAATGAGAAAGGAGGCACAGCAATGACAGCTCCATGACAGAGGTCCCAAGTCCAGCAGACTCCATTCTCTGGATTCCTTTTTCTTCATGTCAGCTAT